CATAGTTTAAGTGAATTCTCAGTATCATAAGATTGCCTCTGACTTCAGAAACCAAATTTAAGTGATGAGTCTCCAGGTTACTCACAATCTTTGCCCGAGTTTACTACAAATCTGTGGTTCCCAAACACTGATAGAGCTTCTTGAATTCATTTGTGTAAACCTAATCAAAATCTATTATTTTTCTCCATTTCCATAAAAACCACTATCTTGCTGGAATAAATGCCTTGACTATACTTTTGTTTTTCCATGATTTGGTGAATCACTCTCATTTTAGCAGCATACATAAGCCCCATAAGAAGAAACAGGAATTTCAAATCTGACCTTAGAGTGTAACTTGCATTGCAGTAGCAAGCGTTTTTTGGGAGGCTCATGCAACACAGTTCTCCTATTTGGAGTTTACATGAGCTGGGTCAGGAGTTTATCAGGATGATGGGTAAAAAAGACAAACAGATTCGCTTCTGTGGATCTGTACACTTCAGGATCAAAACATTTCCCAGTGACTTTTCTCTATGAAAACATTTTTAAAAATTTTAACAAAATAATAAGAGAATAACGATAGTTAATACATGGTGTATCACTATCATCAAAGTAGGTACTTGGAGTTTAAAATGTAGGAAAGAAAAGATTCTCTTGTACAAAGGGGCAAAGATAATAGCACAAAATTTTATTTTCCATGAACTAAGAGAAACTAGTAGTATTAAGAAAACAAATTAGTGTATGTGTTAAAATATTTTTAAAAGGACAAAGTAGAAAATTTAGGGAATTATTTGAATTTCTCCCTGTTTCCTATTTATCTATGTGATTTTTGCTCTTTATTTTCTCACACAGGAGAAACCCTGTGATATTTAAGCTGGTGTATTTGACTTATTTCGTTTAGCATTAAATTCTCCACTTACATCTGTTTACCTACAAATGCCTCAAGCTTATCTTTCTTTATGACAAAGTATGTGTGTAAATACCACAATGTCCTTATCCATTCATCTTTTGATGGACACATACGCTGTTTGAAAGACCTACCTTATATAAGTCGCGCTGCTATAAGCATGAGGATGCATGCATCTCTGTCAAATGATGATTTAAACTCTTTTGGGAAGATTCGTAGAAGAGGGATAGCTGGGTCAAATCAATATCTACTTTGAGTTTTCTGAGAAATCACCACAGAGATCCAAACTACCATCTGGCAGCCCCTGTAAGAATAACCTGTTATGGTTTGGAATACATACATTCATTGAAAATTGCTTAATAGCTGTGTGTCCAACACCAGGCCAAAGATGCTTCTATATTTAATATTCCAAATAAGGAACACTTCTCCAAATTCAGACGTGTTCACATCTATTTCAATAAAGGTTATTCAGAAGCTGAGAATGTGAAAGCATGATACAAGTGAAATACATGTCTGGGGACAATAAAGGAAGGATCTTTCATTTAACATACTTTGGAAATAAGGACAAATAATATAAAAAATAGCACTTCCCCTTCAGTACAACATATTTTACAGGAATATGAAACATAAGATCAAAATAACTTTATGGTTTTGTCTTTATATACACTTATATAGATAAAGGCCAATTAATATGGAAATAGACTTGGATGTAGATGAATACATAGAAGAAACAGATATTAAATGTTACGAGATACATATGAATGAAGATACTAGTCCTTCAAATTATTTGGATTTGTTCTAACTGGTATTGTGAGCATCTCCCAAGGCCTGTGAGTTGAAGGCTGGGCACCATAGAGGTAGAAGTGGAAGATGATAGAAACTGGAAAATGCTCAGCCTACTGGGAAGTTAGGCTAACAGGAAAAAGCTTCTGAGGAAAACTGTGGGGCTCCAGCACTTTCCTCTTCCTCTGTCTCTTTGCCTCAACTGTGAAGGTAGACATTTTGCTCAGACACACACTTCCGCTGTGATGAGCATCCCTACGCAGACCCAAACCACCAGTGGATCATGGACTGAGACCTGAAAAACATGAGCCCACATGAAGCCTTTCTCTTCGTAGGTTATTTCAGCTGTGGGCTATAGTAAGGAAACACTGACAAACACAGGGCTATAAAGTTTGATCTTGTTACTTTAAGGCAGCTTATGGACACTCGCTGAAAATTTATGAGTTTTTTTCTTGATTTGTTTGACTGCTTTATCCTAGAAGGGCCAGGTGTATTGTGCATAACTATTCTAATATATATTTTTTTTCCTGAATAATAACCTAGATTTAAAATGCTCAGTGGCTAAATGTTATAATTTTTCCTTGAGAAGAAGTATACATTATGTATAATACTTGATTATATTAAGAAATAAGAATACAAGAGAGGATAGAAAGCTTGATCCTTTATTATATTTTGCTGAAGTTAAGATTAATAGTTGGCCTTTCTTTTATACCTTTTCTTTTACATCTTGGAATATTCTGTCGTAAATTTATCATTTATTAAAACTTTATTAAGATTTTATTATTACTGTATGGTGAAAAATTATTCACAGCAATATGTTGTTCCCAAAGTAGGATTGAGAGCATTAATGAAAAGCAACTGTTCACTAAAAGTTTTTTTGACAAAACAGGCACAAACATTAACATATTAATATCAGAATGAAATAATTCAGCAACAATAATGTAGCACATAGGTGAATGAATACAAACTTTATTTTAATTTATTCAATGATCATTTGGATATCAAATATGTGTCATAGAATGATCAGGCTGGTGAGGTGCTTTAAAATTTATAAATAGGTAACTGCAAATATACACCTAAACTGGTGAGATACAAGCATATACTTGTTAAAGGCATCATTATCATAAAAATTTCAGCATAAACCATCATTTTTGCATCACTGTATAATGAAATTTAAAATTTATCTTTAAATTTACTATGCTGCATATTATATAGGCATACATTTTACAGCATAGTGTTCAAAAAGCAAATTTGTATGTTTTAAAGTGTCATCTCCTGCTAAGTAATTACAAAATCAACCACTTACTTTCCCATAAATTTATTAGTGTGTAGGTATACAAATGAAACTAAATTATATTTAATATGCAAGTTAATGAGTCATAAAAATGGTTACAAGTGTTGAGGTGCTATAAATTTAAAGAATAATTCATGAAAAATTTTATTTTCTGCATAGCATAATTTACAGACGAAATGAGAAGTTACAGAATGAAAGTGTATGTACATTAGTTTTCAGTTTCCTTTATCATTTAATAATTGTCCTTTAAGCCTTTAATTTTCATAGTTGTTTATTTTGTGGGAAAGTGTGTGTACTCTTTGTTAAAAACAACACAAAGATACTGAACCTAGTAAGCATTTCTATGGGCAAGTTTATCATAAAATGAGCTATAGCTATTTGTTAAGAATTCCCAAAAGGCCATCATGAAGGAAATGATCTTGGATAGCAAGTGAACCCGTGTCAAAACGTCAGGACAAAATATCAAGAAAAAACTGTTCCCCAACAACTGGGATCTGATCTTATTTAAAAGCTTCTGCACTACAAAAGAAACCATCAGCAGAACTAAGAGACAACATATAGTGTGGGAAAAAAATTTTACCAGCTGCTCCTTAGACAAAGGACTATTATCTAGAATATATAAAGAACTCGAAACAATCAGCACCCCCGAAATATAAAGACCCGATTCAAAAATGGGCATCTGAAATGAACAGACATTTCTCAGACAAAGAAGTAAAAGCAGCTAGCAAATATATGAAAAAATGTTCCACATCACTGGTCATTCGAGAGATGCAGATGAAAACAACACTGAGATTCCACCTCACCCCACAAAGAATGGCTGCTATCAAGAAATCAAACAATAACAAATGTTGGTGGGGTTGTGGAGAGAAAGGAACCCTTCTCCATTGTTGGTGGGAGTGCAGACTGGTGCAGCCACTATGCAAATCAACATGGAGATACCTCAAAGAGCTTGGACTGGAGGTTCCATTTGACCCAGCCATCCCTCTGGTGGGTCTCTTTCCAAAAGAATTAAAAGAATCATATCACAGTGAAATATGTGCACCTATGTTTATAGTGGCACAGTTTGTAATAGCTAAAACTTGGAAATAGCCCATTTGCCCATCAGTGGGAAACTGGATAAAGAAGATGTGGTTTTTCTATAAAATGGAATACTACTTAGCCATAAAGAGTGAGAAATTAGATTCATTCATAGGAAAATGGATGCATTTTGAGGATATACTCCTAAGTGAAATAAATAAGTCACACATGTGTAAATACTGAATAGTTTCTCTGGTGTGAAAAACTATAATAGTACATAAGATCCCAATGAGATAATTAACAATGTGAAATAGAAAGAAAAGGGCTAAAGGTGTAGGGAAAATGGGAAGGGTAGGTGAAAGGGAATAAGGGAAAAGAAAAAAATATGAGAAAATGAAAAAATGGAAATAAAGTGTTTGTAAATGGGGAGGGCAGGAGGGGATGAAGCGAGGGCAGGGAAAAGGGGAAAAAAATGAGAACCAAGACTCGTCATGTAAAGGTGCAAGATCCCAATAATGAATGTAATTGTACTGCATACCTAAAATGTACCAATAAACTCAATTGAAACTAAAAAACAAAACAAAACAAAAAAACCTTAAAAAAAAAAGAAACTGTTCCCAACCTTATGAATGGGAAGGGCCTTTTTTTAGAAGACTGTAGTGTCACTGAATTATTTTCATATCCTATTCTAAAATAGTAGAATTTATGAAATTGTAACTCTGAGGATGAACATAATTGTTGTGTGGTATTCTGTGGATAAATGCATCGATAAATTGTAGCACTCTAAAAGAGAACCAAAAGCACTCATATTACAGTAGAAGCAAGAGAAGAAGAAAATAGCAACAACGAAAAAGAACGGAGGTTGCTGACACCGAGATATATAGCATATAAGGTTTACAACATATTGACAGAACAATCAGGTTTTCTTGGCATGGAAAGGAAGCATTTTAATGGATTATAGGACATAGAACTTTACTAAGTGTAATTTAGAAGTTATTGAAATGCAATATTTTTGTTTTACAGGGAGGTCATGATAATCGACCTCTATCTTGATATGGTTCAGGAGAGCCTTTGGTTGCACAACTCATCGCTTTATGAAAGCTTGGAAAAATCTCCTAAAAGTGCGTGTGGCTGGGAGAAAAGATTCAATGGGACCCTCACTGGCACAGCAGCTTACTGGTGGTGGAGGAACACAGTTCCCATAGAGGAAATCAAATTTTATTTTTTCCTTTGTGAACTGTGCCAATCAGAATCATAAGCATTGAAATATTTGCCTGATCAAATTCACAAAATAGTATATTATGTTTTCCTCTGAAAGTTTTATTGTTTTACGGTTCACTTTAGGGCTTCTGATTCATTTTGGTTACTTGCTCTACATGCCATGAATTATAGATTGTTTTTCATTTCTTTTAAACATATTTACATTTAATTTTATAATTAATGCATTGAAATGACTTAACCTTATACAGTACACTCATAAAAAGTTTGAAAGTGTTTGCGTTTCATCTGTTGTTTTGGAATTGTTTGAGAGCAATTGTAGCTAATTCATTTTCTTTTCAGAAGATTTTCTGCCATTTGGTCTTGGGATTTTTCTCTTTTGAATATCTATCTATCTATCTATCTATCTATCTATCTATCTATCTATCTATCTATCTATATATATAATTTTTCCCCTATACCAGGGATCAAATCTGCTCTTGCAAGGCAGGTGGCCTGAGCTAAAACCCCAGACCTTTTGTTAAATTTTTGATCACTGATGCTATATTGTTTGATCAAGGTTGGCAAATATCCCTGCTGTATAAGTACGAATGAAACTCTCCCTACATTCTGCCTGGCAGTAGCATTTCTTTTTCCAATAGTTTTTCTTTCTTAGTTTTCTAGAGTGTCACCCTGCACATGAGGAGTTTAGTTCTCAGTAAAAACGAAACAAAACAAAACACACAGGCATAGCTCTATGCATGTATCTAGCGCTACTGTCCCTCATAGCTCCTTTTCCGTGGTCCACTAGTCTACAAATCCTGGTATCCCAGACTCTCTTCACTCCAGTCTCCGCCTTCTCAGACGAGCTCTCCCTGCTTGCCTTCTCAATTCTTGTGCCTGAATTAGGGACAGTGTCTGGGGAAAGGCTTTAGGCAGCCTGCGGTGTGACTGTAGAATCTATCTTGTTTGTTTCCATTCTCTCCAATTATTATCTTGCATATATAGCATGATGCTAACGATACTGTTCCTATCTGTCTATCTGACATCTGTTTATTTTGAGTCACTCTTTTTTCTGGTAAGGGAAGCTTCATAGCAGTTACTGCAATTTTAGTATATGCGCTGCTGAAGCACAAAGCACACAGCACATAGCAGTTATTCCATTATGAACAAAAGTAGACTTGCTTTCCCATTCCGTTTTTTCTTCATAATGTATTATTTAGCCAGTCTTATGGCATTCCTGTTTGCACTAGTCAGTAAAATTTCTCACCAGCTTTTTGCTTTTGCCCCAATATTTTCATGTAGATGTGTTGACTCACAAAATGTTTACATGTATTTTTAAATTTTCTCGCTATTTTGTCCCACATATAAATGTAAAAGGTCTATATGTTTTGTATGTCATCTGGCTATAAATTAGCTACTGGTTCATTAATGTTTGATAAATGGAATGTATAATTAACTAATTACTAGTCCCTGACATAAAAAGGTTGGGATTTAAAACATACCTATTTGCCAGGGAATTAGCTTAGTGGTTCTGTCGCCTGCCTCACAAGTGCAAGGACCCAAGTTCAATCCCTGTTACCAATAAATAAATAAATAAATAAACAAATAAATAAATAAATAAAATAAAGCATACTTGCTTTTAATTATTAACTATATATTACAGAAAATCCTAAGTAGTCATTACTGACATTACTTAAAATGTACAATTGAATTGACAAGTTTTCAAAGTAAAGGTGATGGCTTCTCAATGCAGATAGTAATAATGTATTCATATATTTAATAATGATTTTAAACAGCTCTTTAAATGGCAAACTTACAGCACCTCCAAACTTCAATTGAGATGAAACTGTTGATTAATCTAAAAGTAAGATTAACTTTACTTCTAAGGGAATATAAATAATTAATTATCCCGCAGCAAGGAAACAGATGTTTTGAAAGAATTTCCCATTTATAAAGTTTTTCTCAAGACATCTTGCAGATGCATACAGATAACACAGTAAAATTTCCACTGGATATTTATTGTTAAAAATGTCCAAGATAAGAGTATAAGGAATATAAATGCCTGCATCAGAAGTAACAAAAAATGATTCTCTAATGGCACCATTGAAAGAGTTTTAAAGTAAAACTGTCCCAAGTATATCTCCTTGTTACATCAGTAGGAATTACCCAAAATCTTTAAGGCCGCCTATGTAATGACAGAGAATACGCTGGAAGTTACCTTGGTCCCCAAAGATCCTAGCTGTAATAACAAATGTGACTGCTTGTATCTGGAGAAAGTTAAATGAGTAATGAAATTTTACCTTGTTCTTCACCTTTATTTGTGTGAAAATGTTTTATACATCTAGAGCCAATTATTGAGTCAGCATGGGAAAAAAAAAGACTAGACTGTGTATTTATCTGCTTTACAGGGTTGTGTGAATTATTTTAAATTTTTAGACCTGAAATTCCATATTAAAATAGAATATCAATTCTTTGTCTTCATGATTAGTTTCATGAATAGTTTAAGACTTGCAATCCGTTTATATAATGTTGGAAAAATTAGGAGATTATAAGCAAATTTAAGCATATTACTAGAACAAGAAAATAGTTGTGCTTTAAAAATATAGTTTGCTGTTTGAAGTACTACAATATCATTTTCAATTTGAAATGAAGTCTCGTTGAGATAAAAACGTCATCACTGACAAGTCTTATAATGATGCTCATCACCCCACATGTAATGTAGCAATCTCCACTTAGTAATGTAGAGTCCCATAAATTCTGCAGGCGGACATTTTATGTGAAGCTAACCTAAAATTAAAATAGCCAACACTGATTGGCTATTTCTTATCAGACAATCAAAACTCAAAGTAAATCTCAGTAATCACATGTGATATCTATGTGTCTTCTGAGTTCAAATAATATTTATGGATCTTGCTTTTAACTTCTTTGTTCTGAATTAAAGGTCTATTTTCTAAATCTTCTATGGCTGACTTTAGAATTTACACAACAGTACATTTACCATTTAAATTAATCGTCTATCAGCATTCCAATTAGCAGAGGCATGTATACAATTTCAGAGAGTTGTGTTTAAAACACCATGTCTCTTTTCTAGCCTGCTTCAGTCTGGAGAATAGGTTCAGCTTCATTTATTTCATGCATTAGAAGACTTTAAGTTCAATTTTAGTAATTACTTACCCAAGATTATATCTTGAATGTACATTACATTCAAAATCATGGTAATTCTAATTTTAGTTTTTGGTATTTTTTAAGCAATCACGCTTTCCATAACGGCTGTACCAAGTTTCATTGTTATTTGTAGTCATTCCACTGTGCAACAGTGCACCATAACTTCTTATTTATAATTGTGCCTTTCTACTCATTAACCTGTCTCCCCCGCACTCCCAATCTCCCAATCTCTGCTGACCAACATCCTACTGGAAACTTCTGAGCTCAACTTTTAAGGAGTCTATGTATGAGTTTAAAGGTGCAGCAGTTGCCTTGCTGCATCTAATTTCACGTGACATGCGGTTTACAGTTCAATGTCTACCTGAAGCCTAAAGTATTCAAAGGTCGCTGGATTATGAAGGAGGCACAGCTGCCTTGCTGACAGAAGGTGGGGTCTGGTTGGAAAAGGCGGGTCACTGTGGGAGTGACACAGAAGGTTATATCTCTTCTCAGAGGCTCTGCTTACTGTGTGTCACCCAGGAGCTGTGAAGTGAGCACCTGATCCTCTGTCATGCTCCTTGGCCTTGTGATCTTGCCTGGGGGCCAGTCAGTGGCAAACTGTAACCATGAGACAAAACAAACCTTTCCTCCTTTAAGTTGTGGGTGTTTAAGTTGTGTCCCGGCGAAGAGGAAAGTGATCTAATGATACATAATGTCCCCTAGTTCCACCCATGTTGCCCCGAGTGACAAGATTCTGTCCTTTCTTTTCAGCTGAGTAATATTCCTCTGTGCATACACACCATGTTTTGTCTCTTCATTTATCATTGGGCACCTGAACTGCTTTTGCTTGGCTATTGTGAATAGTAGTGCAGTGACAAGGCAAATGTTGGTATAGGTCTGGTGTGCTGATTTAAGTTTGATGGAACATCTGCACAGATGTGGGGTGGCTGGATCGTGCAGTAATTCTCATTTTAGTTTTTGGTATTGTTTAAACAATCATGTTTTCCATAATGGCTGTACCAATTTTCATTGCTACCACAGTTTATGAGAAATCTCTTTTTTCCAGCTCTTTGCCAGCTATTACTTATCACTATTTTGATAATACTCATTCTGACAGGAGTGAAATGACACATGACTGTGATTTTGATTTACTCCCCACGATGCCTAGAGAAGTTGAGCATTTTTCATGTACCTTTTCACTATTAATAGATATTTTGAGAAATATTTTAAGATCATTTGCCCATTTTTAAATTGGAGTGATGACTTTGTTTGTTTGTTTATTTGTTTGTTTGAGACAGGGTCTCACTATGTAGTTGAGACTGACCTGGAACTCACTATGTAGCCCAGGCTGGTCTGGAACTCACAGCGATCCTCCTACCTCAGCCTCCCAAGTGCTGGGATTACAGGTGTGCACCACCATGCCCAGAGAGAGATGGCTTTTGATCACTGGGTTGCTTGGATTTCTTAAACATACTTTACATTATTCCATGTTATTTATTGTGAAAATGTTTCTGCCATTCTGAAGGCTCTCTCTTTTGCATCGAGTTCTTCCTTTGCCATGTTTTTTGTGGTGTTTGTTTGTTTTTTTTTTTTTTTTTGTTTGGTTTTTGGTTTTTTTTAGTATGGTTTTAGGTTTTTTTTGTTTTTTTGTTTTTTGAGACAGGGTCTCACTTTGTAGTTGAGACTGACCTGGAACTCGCTATGCAGCCCAGGCTGGTCTCAAATCAGCGATCCTCCTGCCTCAGCCTCCCAAGTTCTGGAATTATAGGTGTGTGCCTCCAGTGCTGCTTTGCCATGATTCTTAGTTTGATAAAATCCTCTCTTATTTTTGGCTTGCTTTTTTTTTTTTTTGCTCTTATCTGAAAAATTATTGCTTATATCAATGTCTTGAAATATTTCTGATATTTTTAATAAATAGCTTCATAATTTCAAACCTTATATTTAGCTTCTCAATCCATCTGTAGTTGATTTTTTACAAGTGCTATATAGAGACTGACTTTTTCCTTTTTCTTACTATATACTGAAAGTGATTTTTTTTTTATACAAGTATTAACTTTGGTGTCTTGCTAAGAATTAGTAGGCTTTGCATGTTTGGATTTATTTCTGGGATCTCTATCCTGTTCCATTAGTCATTGTATCAGTATATATTCCCTTGTTATATACCATACTCTTGATTGCTATACCTCTGTAGTTTTGTTCCTATTGATGGTATTTGAATAATTTTTATTTGGTTGTTTTGAGTTTCACTTGTTCCTTCCTATTTGTCTTTATGATTTGGTGATTTTCTGTATAAATCATATTTTTATGTATCTGTTTTCCTAGTGGTTTCTATAATTTAATGTTTTCGTGACAATAGTTTACCTCTGTTGTGTGTGTTTTAAGTATAGGGCTCCTTTCAAAATCTTTAGTAAGGCCAGTACAATGTTGATGAGCTCCTTCAATTTTTGGCTGTTTTGGAGAGTTTGTATTCCTCTTCCGTTTTTTAGGGTTAGCTTTATAAGGTACATTATTCTTGGTGGAAAGCTCTTTCCTTCTTTCAGAAATGTATACGTAATTCCACTCCCTCCTACAGTGTTCAGTTTTCGCTGCAAAATCTGCAGTAGCCCTAATGGGGACTAAATTTTCCCTGGCCCATTTGTTTTTCTGCTGTTGGAATTCTGTCTTTGACGTAACTCGTCCCACTACAATATGCTGTATAAAGGTTATTTTGTTGTTGTTGTTACCTATGTTTGAAGGTCTTTGAGCCTTCTATTTTTGAATACTCACATCTTCCCCAAACTTTGGTATTTTTCAGCAATTAAATTATCATATAAGTTATTTAGGACTTTCCATTTCTCTCCTTAGTAATCAATACTAATTCAGAAATTTGTACATCTAATGATTTTCCGTATATGTTAGAGGCTTTCTTGATTCTTTTCCTTTTTTTAGCCTGACCCTGTTATTCAGAAACATGTCTTCAATTTAAGAAATTGCTTCTCTTTAATCTAGCCTGTATTTGAGACTCATTGCTACTTTTATTGGACTTTATGAATTATTCAGTTCCAGTGTTGCTATGTGGATTTTTTTTAATGATCTCAGAAACAGGTATCTTAGGGGATTAGTTGACAGTAGCTCCAATTGGTAATGATAGTGTAGCCTCTGGAGTTGCTTTACCTCTACGAGATGCTGTTGGAGAGAATATTTTACAGCTGTTCATTAAAGTGAATGCATCATAGAAACCCTCTTAAATTGATAGAAATTACCAATTTCTTAGAAACTTAGACACCATTTTGGGTACTTAAAATCTGTGGATACTCTCTCAGGTTTGCAGTTGCTCCTTCAGATTTAGGGTCCATTTGTAATTAAATTCTATAAATAAGAGCAATTAAATAATATGACATGTCTCTAAATACTACTTTTACCACATTTTATTACATATATTCATGGATATCCTTAAAACTAAATGAACTACTTAGTCTGAAACACACAAGCTGTTTTACTAAAAGTATTGTACAGTAATTACAACATGAATTTTCAATGAGTGTTAAAATGTTCACACAACTTGAACATAAGCAAAGTTAGTAACAATTATCTCTTTAGAGTACCATGTACTAGATAGAATGCTCTATTTGAATAGGAATCACAATTTTTCGATTTGTTTCATTTTATACTTTTACAAATTTATAGTTCTAAGAACATACACATATACAGAATGTATTAAGCATTTTCCGTAAATAATGATAGCTTCTTTTTCTTCAGGAATTAACAGAAGATACTGGATATTATTTTTTCAAAAGATCTGGAGATAGTCCTTGAACAAATTTCTCTAACTGTAACACTCTGGCTAAGAAGAGAATAAAGTTACATTATATTCTGTTTTATTATACTGCTCTTTCTAAAGGCTTATTTTCTTGTAATATAATTTTAAATATGGTCATGTTATTATTAATATGTTTAGAGAAATAATGTGCACTCCAACTTTATGTATTAATATGGAATATTTCTTCTTCAATATCTCATCAAATGTTTTATTTGAATATTTGTTCCTATATAATAAAAAAATTTCCCAGAAACATAACTGACTGTGAAAAATAACTATCTTCAGTAAGGTTTACACTGTACATCCCAATAATTTCTTTTGTTCTGTGTATGAAACAGCTAAGGATGTAAGTATATTCAGCAATAATGTGACAGAATTACTTACATTTGTGTAGAGTCAAGGAAACCTAAAAATGATTATGATTGTTTCTCTTTTTTTATTGAGTTTATTGGTACTTTTTAATAAACGGTACAGTTACATTCATCTTTGGGATCTTGTACCTTTACATGACAGATCTCGGTTCTCATTTTTTTCCCCTTGTTCCTGCCCTCCCTTCCTCCCTTCCACCCTTCCCTATTTACAAAAACTTTGTTTCCATTATTTCTTTTCTTTTTCATATTTTTTCTTTTCCATTATTTCCTTTCTCCTACCCTTCCCACTTCCCCTACACCTTTAGCCCCTTTCTTCCTATCTCACATACTCAATTATACCATTTGGATCTTGTTTACATTTTTAGTAAATATCGAATAGTTTCTCTGGAACTATGATTGTTTCTAACAATTGTTAAATATAATGAAAATTTTTACCTAATACTAAATTATTTGAAATTCTATCAAGACACATGAGAAATTATGTAACATAACATAGTTTGAATAATGAGTCAACTTATGCAAATAAAAATAAAACTTTGAGCTGTATTATGTAGAAAAAATAAAACATGTTTGTTAACAAAGAGATCTAAACCTTGAAAATGCTACATTTTTGGGGATTGTAGGGTATTCTTTTTTCAACTGCTTGCTTTTATTACATTCTTGAGATGTGTTACTTCTTTTTTCAAATGCAACACTATAAAAAAGTCAAAAGAAAATGACATCTGCCCTGAATCATAAAGTTCAGAGATAAGAGAGCTTTATTCAGAAAATTACATGTGGACTCAAGTACCAGAAATTAAAAGATGTTAGGTCAAGTCAGTCAATACTTTAATGACACTAATCATTGTACATTTAAAAAATCAAAGGCTAAATGTATTTCCCTACTAGTTTACACACAGGATTCATAACTCTGACTGTTACCTATAATATTCTTCTTCATTTTCTCTTTGGAAAATGGGGTGGGGAGCTATTAAAACACCTTCTAAACTACCTCATAGATTTCAACATAAAGCTACATTTCTGCCACAGGAATATTACATAAATTATGCAAATAAAGGACATAAACTTTTAGTTTATTTCAGTTAAAAGTAATAAATTTGCTATGTTATGCTAGCTTGCATCTGAGCACAGTATCATTATTATGGAGAAAGATGAATATACTATACATATATAAATATATATAATGTATATGCTATAAACAATATATAGTGTGTATATATATATGTGTGTGTGTGTATGTGTGTATATATATATATAGATAGAGAGAGAGAATAAAAGTTATTTTCCTGCTAAATCTTGTATATATACTAGTGCTATTCCAATACCATTAGATGAAAATTGAATAAATATAAAAAAGAAAATGTAGAAACTAATGTCTAGGATTTAAAGAAACTTTTCTACTCTATGTTCAGTTTCTTCCTTTTTAAATCATATATATTGGACCTAACTTCTCTAGGGTCACTTCTACCTACAAAATATTAAGATATATATTACTTCATATTTGTAAAAGGAGTAAAAAATGTCCCTCAATATTGCCATACACAAAAACATGGTTCTATTTGAACTAGATGGATGCTTTTATTATCAATACACTTTTTCAGTATAAAAAACAAGCTTGTCAGGGCTTGTATCTATAATAACAGTATATTTACTATTAAGGAGAAATACAGTTCCCTCAACTTACAAAAGTTGATTACAGGTGTACCTGAAACATGACGTTTATTATTGGCGAATCACCAGGAAATATACACTAAAAATGTCCCTGAACTTCCTTATTGCCAGATGTGAAGGAAAACAAATTCAGACAGCGATACTTCAGGAATGTGTTCTATGAGTATTCCTTCAGCGAAGGCACAACATTTTCTGGGCCTAGAAGAAGCACAAAATTAAAATTTAAAAAACAAAAATAATGAAATGGGTCAAATATTTACATCACTCCAAACTGTTTTTTTCTTAAATTTCTAATTTTGTTTTGTTAAGCTTATTGTATACAATTTTATGTATGCAATATGATAACATTCCTCATTGGGAATTTGCACCTTTACGTGACATAGCTTTGGTTCTTTTTTCCCCATTCCCCTGCCCTCCAAGACCCCTCCAAATTTACAAAGACTTGGTTTCCATTTTTTCCTTTTCTCATATTTTTTCCTTTCCCTTCTTTCCTTTCCCCTACCCCTCCCATTTCACCTTCCACATTAGACATTTCCTTCCTATTTCACATTATCTATAATACCTTTTATCCTTATTTACACTTTCAGTATCACACAACAGAGAAATACTTGGTATTTACATGTGTCTTATTTATTTTACTTAACAGTATGGCCTCAATGGCTTGCTAAATGGCATGCATGTATTTAGCTATAAATGACTCTAGCTTCTCATTTTTTACGGCTGTGTAGTACTCCACTATATATTATGTTATTATATATATGTGTGTGTGTGTGTGTGTGTGTGCGTGCGTGTGTGTGTGTGTGTGTGTGTGTGTGTGTATAAACACATCTTTTTTATCCAATCTCCAGTTGATGGGCAACTGGGCCATTTCCAGGTTTATCTATTATAAACTGCATCACTCCAAACTTTTATGTTGAATCATAAACCTCAAAGAGATGGCCTTAGGAGATGAAGCCTTTCAGAGGTGACTAAAAGGGAATAATACCGTTTTATAAGAGGCATCAGAGAGACTCTCTGCTCTTTTCTGCTGTGTGAGGTTACAGTGAGAAGACAGCCAGAAACTGACATTTTCTAAATAGTGAGTGGGCTGGTACATTGATCTTGGCTTTGCCAGCCTAAAAATCTGTGTGAAATAAATTTCTGTTGCTCTTGTTATACCCAGGTCATATTATTTCTTACAGCAGCTTGGATTAAGAAAAACAATATTCTTATATGCACTGAATTATTAATTATTACTATTACTAATTTAATTTGTGACTGATGTTTTTCATTCCTTTCTCATTTTCCTCAAACATATACACTGTATATATTCTTTTATATATGTATTTATCTTGCTAAAGCACAAGAAAAAAAATTTGCTTTCTCAACAATAGCAAAACTTCAAAGGCTAAGCACTTTAACCACAAATTTCATTTTCTTTCTTCTTCTGTTCCCTGTGCATTCGACCTACAATAATCTGCTTTGCGCTCCCAATTCATTCTCAGCCTCCTGCTTTTGAGTGCAGTTTGAATGAGTCCACTTACAACAAAGATGCTCTAATTTCTCTAGTTGCAAACAATTGGTTGCTGCTTTTTCTTCCACTCTAGAGTACCTGTTTTTCAACTTATATGCATTTCACTGTTTATTTTTTCAACTTATTTTCACATCTGTTCCTTCCCACCAGTGGGTTAGTAAGAAAATTAAACTTCATGGCATGGTTACATTTATGTGCTTGATTATCCCTGCAAAATGATAAACACTCAATAATGGATGAACTATTGAATGTCTTACTCATCAAAAGAGTACTTCAGGAAAAGATGATAGCAGAGCAAGGTATATGAAGTGAAATTTTCTGGTAGTTAACCGTCTTAAAAAGATATAATCTGTAAATGTGCATAGAGGATCTGTCTGAACTTTTAGTTAAGAAGTATCAACACATCTGTGTTTTGAGGGTAGTAATCTTATTCAAAACTGGGTCTTGCCACAAAAGCAAAAATTTATTCTCATGGAAGACACAGCTTAAGGCAGCTGCATTATTGTAGTATTTATAAATGCATGTATCTTGAATACTAGCCAAGCAAAGTTGTTATGCAGTAACAAAAATTACAGAAATATAAATATATGCTGAGAATCAGCAGGAAATGTTAAAAGATGGTTACAGTCGTACCATTTGTTCCCTTAACCTGTGCCTTAAAACTTTTCACTTGAACTTAGGAGATGGAAATAGAAAGTTGAAGACACAGGATTCTGGTCAGCTTGAATTTGCCTGAAGCAATTAAGAGAAATCAAATGTTGTCTTTTTACTTGGAGAAGTCCTGAGGGAGAACTCACCCTGACATAAGAGAGAACAAGCTTGACAGAAGAGTTCCTGAGCTCCACTGCTCTGCTATTAAGGAAGAAAGAATTTGCAGCGAGGCATCAGAACTCTTGATCAAATACATATTTGGCCTAAATTTTTACACAGATGTTGAAATCCTTAGGGAAATGGGTTGTAAATAAATATGAAAATCTCTGTACTCTAAACTATAAAAATTATCAAAGCATGCGTACAGGATTGAACAACAAAGCGAAGTGAGGAGTCTTCCTGCTGCAAATCTCCCTGCCCTTGACAGCACACTTGATCAAAGATTCAGCGGTGAGTTTCCCAACAGCAGGCTCCAGAGGAAATGCTCATCCATGGGAAAACTTCACTCTGTGATCAAGAAACAGCGAAGAAGAAGCCAATTAACCCACAGTGATTTCAGTCAGGAAGGGATATCATCCTGAAAAGAATGACGGTCTTCCAAAGAAGTAAGAAAAAATGGGGCAGGGAGGTAAAACCACAGATTCTATAAAATTCTCAATTTGGTTAGTTAAAAGTGATTTCAATTATCATTTATACTAGAAGGAAACAAAAATTTTGAAATGTAAAATAGACTTTATCACAGCCATTTTCTTTTTAAAAACAATCAAACCACCCACATTTTAAATAAAATGTATAGAATGTACTGAATACCAGGTCTGCACCTGTACAAAATGCCCATCATGATGAATCAAAATTCCGTGCCTCTGAGAGGTGAGGTCCAAATGTGTTATCCATCAAGTAAGGCAGCACAAGGTAGAGGGGAACAGTAGCAGGACCAGAACTTCTGATCTTTCCACACTGATTTTATCATACAGCTTTTATTTTAGACATTTTATCAAGAATACTGGCCAAAGCATATTATAGAGGGAATGAGACTTGTCCTCCTCAAAGTAAGTATCCTTGCATCTAAAGGTAGCAGAGAAACAGACTTTCCTTCCATAGGAGAATGACAAGAAAAATGTAGGGCAATGGTAAGGATTTAACTGGCCCTTGTCCTAGGCTCCTGAGATTATATTTAAATCCTTGGCAATATCCCACATGTGTATGGCCACACATAAATGTATGTAAATGAATGGTCAATAAAGAGCTTCAGTATGTGAACTGACCATCCTAGCAAGGCCACCCATGTGACTTGATTAGATCTCTCAGTGACATCCATTTAACTTCTAGGAATGAGGGATGGATGAAAGATTGAGTTCAACCACGTGACAAATGATTCAAGCATGTCTACACGATGGAATTAGAAATAAATTAGCTGTATAGCTGAAGATCCCTGAGTGTCTTTGTTAGGTAATTACACATCAATCTATTGGAAGGATGACATGGAAGATTCGGATTGGAGGTCCTCACAGTTCACTCCACAGGTCTCTTCAGCTGGTTTTTCTTGATATTCTTTATAGTAAAACTGTACTCAGTCATTCCCCAAAACAGCCAGTCAGTCAGAGTGCTGGTGGTCTCAGAACTCTGGGGCTTACAGATGGTGTTGAAATGGAGACAGTCTTGGGAGGACTGTGCTCTTAATCTACGAAGACTATGTTAATGCCGGGTAAATAGTGTCAGAACTGCATGTCCATCGGTCAGCCTTTAAATGGACAGCAACGAGTTCTGCCGTCTGATATTGACACTATGTGAGATCCCTTCTCACATTCACCACTGCTCTCTGCTGTGGGGCAGTGGGATAGGTAGAAGTTATTGGATGTTTCTCTCTCTCTCTCTCTCTCTCTCTCTCTCTCTCTCTCTGGTTATTGCCAATAACCACTTGAGGGAACTTGGATATAGAATCTCTTGCCCAGTCAAGCTTTATGGTGACCTCTGTCCTTTCTTACTTATTAACCAAAACCTAATAAGGAACTCTGGGCCAAAATAATTTAGCAAGGCTAGTCTTGGATTCCTACCATTGGCAATCTATGTGAGCTAATTAATGTTTATTGTTATAAAACTCTAAAGCTCCTTGGAGTTGTTTACTTTGTGCTAAGAGATAACTGAAAGACAGAAGCACTTATGTTCATTATTTTTCTTTTAAGTGTAACACTTGGTGGTGTCCCTTCACTTCTCCTAAAGAAGAATGTGTGAGAGGTCAAGAATAGACCTGGACTTAAGGCATATGGAAACCTTCCTGAATGAAATGAAGGAGACAGCAGCAGAGTAGAAGAAATTGTCCTTCACAACAGCCTGATCTGATTATCATTCCTCAGAATGCATTTTAACTCTGTAATATCATGTTACTGAACTAACATGTTATCATAATTTCCCTGAAGAAAATAATGTGCATCATAATACCTATTTTCATCGTGAGATGAAAAATATTAAAATGAGACGCCAAGCAAATTGTGTGGAAGTTACTGTGATTAAAATGAAATACTGCAATATATATTCAAATCAATCTCTAGACTAGAACTAGAAAATTAATGTTTGAATTTAATCCAACTACTTTTGGCTTCCATCTATGGCATGTTTTTGTCAAGAGGATATTTAAAGAACAGCAAGATTCTCGTGGCCTGCTCGCTTGAACTTATATTGACAAATCCTCATTCACTCAAAAGGACCAATGAGATTACCATCACTTTTCATTCTGTTGACATACAAGTTAATGTAGTTGACTTCTATACTTGTACAAGTGCTGCTCCTATACGCTATATAGACGTAGTTCACTTGGTCATGTTTCAAACGACTTACATTCAGACAAAACAACTAAAAAATTCTAACATGTCAACAGCATTTCAAACTAAGAAGATTATAATTTTTTCCTTTCTGATGAATTACATTATATCATACGACTACTACCTATGAGATTCAAAGTTTAGAAAAATAATGATGGATCGAAGTACTAAATTAAAATTTTTGACAGACAAATGGCAGGTTTGCCATGCTATGCTCGTAGACTTCTTCCTTCTTAAGTCTTTGCAAGTGAACACTGAAGCATTTCTTACAGGTCTCTGCATTTTGGTTTCCGTTCTGTTTTATGGGGGACTGAACCCCGGGATGCACTTCTGCAGAACCACTTTTCCATCCTTCTCTCCCATTTGATGGGCACAATATCTTACCTACTCACATTGATCTTGAACTTGCCATCCTATCACCTCAGACTTCTGAATAGTTGTGAGTACAGGCATGTGCCACTCCACTCAGCAAAGGAGCCAAGAAATGCTTCCTTACCTTTTTGTGTGGTACTGGGATATAACTCAGGACCCTGCACATGTTAGGCAAGTGCTTTATCATGGAGCTACATCCACAGCCCTTCTTGAAGATTTTCATTAAATAATAGAACCTTAATGTCTATGTAATAGAAGTAAAGCCAAAATTATTTATTTTCTTACATCTTCTTTTTTTTCAAATTTAAAAATACTCCAAGGCACTTGACTGAATGCAGTGACTTCTGATGCAATAAAGCCAGTGCTTGGTAATGAAGTCACTGCATCAGCTGTCCTATTGAACATCATTACAAAAAAAAAAAAAAAAAAAAAGCAACATAGTCACTACTTCTATGAGGATTAGTAACATGAACATTTCTTCTATAGCATTAAACACTCAAGGGGGAAAACTTCTCCAGTTATGGGTATAACAGACTGATATTTTTGCAGATACTGGCAAACATTTTTCTCAATTGCTCAATCTTCTAAGAAGCAAGTATACTTAAAATATTGCTAGATTTTGAATTGTAGATATAAAAATTTGATTTACAGAGTTTTTGTGTCTAATTAGATACACAGTTTTAGAAAAATTTTGAAATCATCATATACATGCTTCCTGTTGTGTCCTTGGAAGGGTAAGGGGATGGGATTCAAAGGAGAATCTGAAGTTTGTAGTCATATCATACAAGAGATAAAGACATGTGAATTTTAAACTCTTTATCTAACTTTTAATAAAATAATAGCAAAATTGACAATTATTATTATAAGCCCCACTGTTATGAAGCCTAGGTTGAAAGTGCTATGCTAGGGAAACACCTGATTTAACAGTTGCAAGGAGATTATAAAATATGACAGAATCACTGTGGAGAAAAGTAGAAATTGATTTACCCCCACATACGAAGAGTTGCATTGAATATAGTCTAAATATATCAAATAACTCATTATTAAAGTAAATTAAAAGCTATGGGATGAAAATATTCTATCTTTAAGAAACTCACTTCTAAAATATACATCCAGGTTGAAAGTCAAATAATGAAATAATATACATCAAGCAAATATTAATCAAAGGAAAAATTAGTATCTAGTTTATTATCCGGACAAGTACACTTGGAATAATCTAAATCAACAAAGACAGCCTGAGTATTTTATCCTGATTAAGTGCTCATTTTATGTATGACAATCCTAAACATGTGTGTTCTGAACAAAAGGGATACAAAATTGTGAAAAAAGGCATGAAATTCTAAGGAGAAACAGATAGATCTGCAATTACAATCGAAAACAAACATTCCTCCACCACTTTGATAATAAACCTGAGAAGAAACTCAAATATACAGAACAACTCATTGACGACATCTACCAACAATATCTAATTAGCATATTACACATGACATAACAATATTAGAATATACACCCTGTTTAAGTGGACATGGAAAATATGCTATGAAAGTTCACAAAGCCATAAAACCAAGTGAAACAAATTTAAAAGAATACAGATGTTACAAATTTTAAATATCAGCAGTGCAATAAAGGATGTTAATACAGACCCTGAGGACATCAAAATCATAATAAAGAAATACTATGAAGATCTTACATGTATACATTTAACAACACAGAAATGACCCAGTACATGAAAAATGGTAAGTGCCACTGCCCAGCTATTATGTTTGTTTGTGGGGTTTTTTTGGTACCGAGGATTCAACTCACATCCTTGTGCTTGCAAGGCAGGCCACTAAACCGCTGAGCTAAATCCCCGGCCTGCCCAGCTATTATGAAATTAATAATTTGAGTAGCGCTATAATCAGTAAACAAATTATATTTGCTAATCTTCCCCCCAAAAAAATCTCTTGGTCCATGTATTTTAGATAGAAATCTCTTCAAAAGTTTTAAAGAATCCATAATATAAACTATTGCACCATAAATGCTTGAAGAAATTAAAAGATTGTCCCTTCATTTTCAACATATTTCATGATGCTAGCTATAAAATTATGTATAAATCAAATGTAGGACAAAATAAACAACATTACAAATCATTATCCTTCATGAAAGTAGATGCAAACTTCCTTAGCAAAAATTGTAGCAAATAAGATTCTATAATTTATTATTATCTTTTTTTTTTTTTGGTAGGGGGGAACGAACTCGGGACCTTGTGCTTTCGAGGCAGGTGGTGGAACCACTGAGCTAAATCCCTGCCCAAGATTGTACAATATTTACAAAAGA